GTTTGTATTGTTTGTCGGTCTAGTTTGTATTGTTTGTATAGTTCATATGTTTGTATTGTTTGTAAATCTGTTTGTATGTTTTGTCGTTATAGTTTGTAATGTTTGTATGTTTGTACTGTTTGTAAGTCCAGTTTTTATATTTCATAATTATTCATAATACCCAAAATACCCCTGTCACTAATTTAAATTTGTTTCCACTTTTTAACCGTTAGATTGGAGTGTCCAGATCTGAGGGCTATGAGGCGGTTTGTCAAGTGACTAAGGACACCCCTTAGTCATGGGATCCACCCTCGCTAATTCAAGCGACCTTCCTTATGAATATGATCGGCAGCAACGACTTGTTCCAGGAGGATATTAATATATATTTATATATATAAAGCTGGAGTAAGTTTACTGTTGCATAAAAGCTTACTTTTTGATACCTCAAATTTAATTAAATCACAACTTAGTCACTATAATGTACATTTTACATTTTGATACCCCAAATTTAATTTTAATGTAAACTCATTGAACAATTATGTTTTCCTATCTACATTTTATGAGATTTTCGTACCAACAATTTTTAAATTTATGTATTGGTCCACTGTTTAGGTTTCACTTGAATCGAGGAATTCAATCCACTAATTCTTTTGAACCAATCCATGAATTCAATCCACCATAACATAAAAGTATAAATTTTGTTTGTACAATACAAGACGTTGTATCACTCAAGTGTAGAAGAAGATTCAACCATTTTATATTTGCTCATTACTTGAAATATTAAATAAATGATAAAAGAGAGACGACTCAAAAATATTTTAAGAGCGAATTTCTAAATTCAATCAGTACATTAACGGTGTAGTAAATAAACTTTTACTAACTATAGGTAACAAAAATATGCGACAACTACATAAATAAGTGTCAATAAATTGCTACAGTGAAAATGATTGATTGTTGTATTGATAGCCAACTAAAAGAATTGGTCAAAAGCTTTCCATTATATATTTCCTATTCGTTTCATTTTTCACTCGCCTTCCATAACCCTTTCTTTGTTTCTTTCTTTGCCTTCTTTGTCTAATCCTAATTGGTATACTATTTTTATGTATTCTAATCACAAGTATGAACGTGTCCATAAACGACTCACCAACAGTCTAGAGAACTAATAATTTTTCAGCTCAATGTCGAGCCCAATTAAAAATAAATATATATGGTTATTACATATTATAAAATCGTCATTTTTTACTATGGGATTTGATGGCGTGAAATTTGAAGCGAGTTCTAGTTTGTATCCACTTTGCTTCTCTCTAGAGTTTTTCTTTTTCACCCGGGCTAGAATTTTCAACAATTATACATGGAATGTTTGTCTAGGTATCTACACATATCAAATAAATAGTTTCCATTTTTCTATAAAAAAAAGTAAATAATTATCGTATTAAATACATCACCATAAAAGGAATTAAGCCTCAAATATGTAAATTACAGTTCTGTACCTAAACTTAATAGATCTATGGATTCAAAACCTAAATTTATTTTTTTGGCATATAAGTCCTCAAAATAGATGGATATTATATTTTAGTACCTAAATTTTTTGTATATTATATTTTGGTACCTCAAATTTTGAAGTTCTACAAATAGGTCTAATTTTGTATGTATAATTAAAACACCATCGAATAAATGGATATCCACACCCAACTCATACACATTTAGCTTATGGAAGTAAATATTCATAACCTACCCAAACCCATTTACAAACTTCCAAACCCACATATATGTCAGCCATACCCTTCTCATAATCTAATTAGGTTTAGGTATATATCATTTATTACCCAAAACATGTATGGATCTTCAGCTCTCACTTATTTCTTGTCTCTAGTCTTGCTCTGTTTTGTGTTAAAGTTTGCAGGGGAGTTTGTCTAAGAGGTGAAAAGGAGAAGGAAGGGTTATCAAATCGTCCATCGACTTCTGCGGTGTTAAAATCTACTAAGATTGAATTAATTTTAGTTTTTAAGTTTCTGGGTTTGTTTGCTCCGTTCAAGCTGTTATGGTGTGTATGCTAACTAAATCTGTAGTAGAGGTTCTGAACCGGAAAATATAGCATAAGGAAAGGTTATGTTGTTTTGATTTTGTTTTAATTACTTTGTGATATTAGGTTGGGCTAATTGCAAAGTCGAATTGGGATGTTCGTTAATTTGAAGTTAACTCGTAGGACTAAATAGTATTGAAAAATAAATCAATAGGTATGGTTGTAATTATAATTATTAATTTAATTATAATTAATTAAAACAATTAATAGGTGTGAACACAGGTGTATAGCGTACGCCAGGCGTACGCTAGCCTGAACCATATATATATATCCTGGCTACTTCGGTGCACTCACTTTTTTGGGTGCATTCAGTGCATTCAACTATAAAAATAGTAATAATACATCGAATTTTGAATTTTAATGGGTACCATTAGTCTAATATGATGGTATAATATAGAATCACAACTTATCGATCCATTATCATAGCCCCTTAATCTTCAATTATACCATTAGTCTAATATGATGGTATAATATAGAATCACAACTTATCGATCCATTTCCATTAGTCTAATATGAATTCCAACCCAAAATCCCAAATTGTAAACTCTAACCCTAACTCTAAATTCCTAAACCCTAAATCATTCAAATTAAAGTAAATCTTGAATGATTTTTGTACAAATTCATGTGTTTCTTGTTCATCAAACCACAAGTGATGACTAATATCATTTTGACATGAATCGGCTTCTCGGAATGATGATTATGAGACGAGTGCATTGAATGCACCCAAAAAAGTGGGTGCACCGAATACGCTACCATATAGGTGGCTACTTCGGTGCACTCACAAAAATGATTACGTTCAATGCGCCCAACTAAAAAACTAGTCTTAAGGTGTCGAATTTTGAATTTTAATTTGTAGAATTAGTGTAATATGATGATATAACATATGATAACAACTAATTAGCGGATACCCTAAGTCATAGACCTCCAATTTTGAGTTATATCCCTAAACCCCAAATTGTAAATCCTAACCCAAACCCTAAATCTCTAAACTCTAAATCCTTCAAATTAAAGTAAATTTTTAATGGTTTTTGTACAAATTCATGTGTATTATTGTTCATCACATCATAAGTGATTATTGACATCATTTTGACATAAATCGCATGTTTAAAATGACGGTTATAAAGCGAGTGCACTGAATGCACCAAAAAAAGTGAGTGCACCGAATACGCCACCATATATATATATATATATATATGGGTAGTTCTACGGTACCCCGGGTGAAATCCGGGGTACCGCATACCTTAAGTAAGAAAACGCTATCCAGAATTTGAATTGACTGATCTTTCGGACATGATACTATACTCTAACCCATAAAGATCAAAATCTAGGTCTTAATTCTCTAAATCTTTTACCCAAAGATAAATTTAATTAGAAACAATAATCGACGGTTATGATTCGTCCAAATATAGGCAAAAAAATCAATGCACCATCTTAGGGTTTATAGTTTTGATTTAGATAATTAGGACCTAGGGTTCACTCATTAAGGGTTAGGGTATAGTATCATGCCCAAAAATTCTGCTAATTCGAGGTCTAGATAGCGTTTTCATACTCAAGGTATCCGGTACCCCGGATTTCACCCGGGGTACCGTAGAAGGCACCATATATATATATATATATATGGTAATTACTGGTGTACGTCAGGTGTATACTATATGCCAGGTGATCTAATCTTTAGATGTACTTAGATGAGCTCTGGCCGATCTCAACGATCAACTTTTGTTTTTCATTAAATCAAACTTTGGGTTGGGGTTTAGAAAATCGATGTTGGGGTTTATCCATTAGAGGTTAGGATATAGTATCATACCCCAAAATCAATTTAGTTCATGGTCTAGATAGATATATCTCACTAGTAGTACATGACGTATAGTATACGCCTGACATACGCCAGTCTCTCTATGTTTATTGTGTAACTTTGTGATAAAAGAAAGTGGTATAGGGTTTGTCTTCGGGTCTGCAAAGGAATTGACGAATATAGAGGTAGAAGTTCTATATCGTCAAGGCTGTAACGGATCGCAGCGTGATCCGGATTTCTTTTCTCTGTCGGTCTAGAGTTTTGAGTCCTTGTTTCGTCATTGTTTTTGTTTCTTTGTCCGTCTTAAAAAGAAAACAAATAAGTCTCCTGGATTCAGTGCTTACTGATCTGGACGTGGGATTAGTCATTGCACAAGAGTGAACCACGTTAAAAATCTTGGTTTTCACGCCTCCTCTTCTTCACCTTGCTCTGTTTTATTTGTTCCTGCGTTTCTTACTTGCAAGAGCAGAACATGATCTTAGCCTCTTTGGAAATTCTAGAAAGCAGCAGGCTTCATTCCAAGTGGGCCTCGTGACTAATTCTGTTCTATTAGAAAGTAGGTATTTTTTTTTTTCTGTTTTCTCTTATTGGAGTCAGTCTGCTTAAGCCCAATTTGTTTCGTACGCAAGGCAAGAGACGAGAGAATCCTTTCTCTTCCATTCGTCTTCTTCCTTGGCATTTCTTATTCTTCCTGTATGCAAAAACCATTTTAAAATCCCTAAAATTTTGCCCAAATCTCAGTTTACAGTCCACCCCTAACAGTTTGTTCTTAGTTGTGCATATACATGAGATACTAATTACTAATCCACACACAAACATTCATTACAATTACAAAGATGCATCTTTCTAGGCCTGTTAGTGTTGTGGTATATGATCCACGATTGAACCTCTCCCAACAACTCGAGTTATTGGGAGCAACTGGTTTTTGACATGGTATCAGAGCCTGCTGTGACCGAGAGGTCTTGTGTTCGATTCCCGGTGACCCCCATTTGTTAAGCACATGGTATTCTTGTCTTCAGACCTGTGCAAACTTCAAGCTCTTGTGAGTGGCTTTCGTTTGAGGGGGCGTGTTAGTGTTGTGGTATATGATCCACGATTGAACCTCTCCCAACAACTCGAGTTATTGGGAGCAACTGGTTTTTGACAAGGCCATATTACAGACCAGGCCGATTGGTTCAAAAGAGCACATACAGGACTTAGCAAGTTGGCCAACCTAACTAAGGACTGCCGAGAGACAATTAAAGTGCACTTCATAATAACATAAGGACGAACAAGCTGAACCAGATTCCAAACAGCAGCATTTCTCCCGATTCTAGTGCAGCCGATGTTGACTTGTGTAGGCTTCTTTGTGTGCAGGATGATGACCATTATCGCATCCTAGGTCCGCAGCCAACCGTGGGATCATCAAGTTGGCGATCACCTGATACGAATGGTCAGTCAAATGACGGTCGTCCCAAAACATATACTCTTGCGGGTTCTGACAGTACGGTGACCCAGGGGAGCCACATGCCTTAGAGCCATTCCCACAACAAAATCTGTCACTCGGTTGCTTGAACCCTGCAAGCACAAAGCCAGAGAAACCGTGGGATCATCAAGTTTGCAAACTAGGCTCTGATTATTTCCTCACTGTTTTTTTTTTCTTTTTGTGTTTGCTCTGTTTTCACTTCTCCCCTGTCTTTCCTCTGTTTTCTTTTCTTTCATTGTATAGTTTTCTCGTTGCTGTCTTTAATGAATATCTCGCTCTTACAAGAATTTTTTTTTACCTAGTGTCCTGTAATGGCGGAGAAGCCATCCTGTCGGACCCCACATGTCCCCGTAGACTAGGAGTACGCCGGGGAACTCCTTTCTCAGTTCTGCGAGCTCTTGCTTCAGGATTCGATTGTGACGAGCGGCAACCGCATTGGTGGAGGTATTGCAGCGGGGCTTATAGTCGTGGAAGAGTCCCACATCCACGGTGCACCCAGCTTTGTACAAACCTGTCACTACTATCTTGCTGGCGCCGTACTCGATTATCAACTTTTGCAAATTCAACAAAAATTACCATGAATGAACGGTTTACTAGCTAAAATAGATATGTTCATGCTAATATTGGATTTGGGTTTTCAGGTGGTTGTAATTAGGTTCACCTTCAAGTAGTCCTTGACGGCGGCAACGACATCAGGAATGATTGTCTTCATTTTCTCGAGTGGCGGAGAGCTGAAGTTGCCTCGTATGTTCGTGTAATCGTTCCCCGATCCACCAGTGAATATGAACAGCGACGACTTCAAACGATTGCGGCGAGCTGTACAGTGTAAAATTCAGCCACATAGAAAAATGGTGAAAACCCTAAGTTAGTTATTATACAGCAGAAGAAAAAAAACTGTACAGGACCAGTATTTGATTTATACCCGTCTCGTCATCTCCGAATGTTCTGTTGAGGTGTTCCTCGAGCCAGTTCAGCTGGATGTCCACACTATCCTGAGAAAACGGCAGTTGGACGTTCAATTTGGTTCTGGTTTTGTTCGACAGAAGGCCAACTCCTCCCACCGCGAAGTTTGTCCCTTTAGACTGATCCAGATTTTTCCTTAGATATGGATTCAGGTACGGGAGTCCAGCTGCCTCGGCTGTCAACAAAAAAGAGATTGAGGATGTGTATAATATAATAAAAGACAACAGCAAAAGTACTAATTAAGGATCAAATCATGTCTTACCTATGTGGTCGATTATTAAGTGTCCATCACAAAATCTGCCGGTCGCATTGTGGATTGTCATGCCATTGGGGAAGTTCCCCATAGGACCGTCGGGGTACTCCGCCAGGGCATTTCCGGTGTCGGAGAACGAGTCCCCGAAGTTATAGATGGCTGCTATTCCGCAGCCTCCGAGGACTGGGCTTTCGGCACCGTCACGATCATCATCATTACTAGCTTGGCAAGACAAAGGTTTCTGTGGAACAAGAAGAAGAAGGAGAATGACAGTGACAGTGACAAAGGTTGGGAAAGAATCCATTTTTTAGTTTCCTGCTCTCTCTGATTTCAAGTCTCAATGGAATGATTAAAGAAGTTTCAGCAAAATGCTTTAGCCTCTGCGAGTGTACTACTGCTGCAGGATCAGAGGAGCTACCATGCATCCCATTTATTGTATGCTGTCTAAGCTCAATTGAGGAACAATTTTGGGCGAGCAAGCAAGACGCAGAAACTGGAACTATGTGACATGGAAATAGCAATGCATTATTGACTGCAACACAAGGATACGCGGAGCGAAGGGGAGAACTGTGAACGATTTTGGGTATGAAAGCTTTTGTGTCATTAAAATCAAAGAGACAGAGCATGTGCAATGCCTAACTAACCTAACGCTACTCAAATTCCTAACTCATGGTGATTAGATTCCTATGTCAGATTTATAACCAAAATGGTAATCTAATACATAGATAATAAGGAAGTCGATTGTTAATTTGTTATTGTATTTTTAATTAGATTGGACGATATTTTGAAATTTCACACTTATTTATCAGCTTATCTTCTTTGTCTCTAATTTTTTTTGGTTGGAAATCGTTGTGGTTGCAGTTAATCGCACCGAAATTTGCGGTTAACCGCAACTGAAATAGGGCCATATATGCCAACCACGACCGCACCGCAAACGGTAAGCGGTTAACAACTAACCACAAAATACAATTAACAGTTAACCGTGATTAACAACATTATTAACCGTTCTGATGCCTTGGGGACATTTTGATATGTGGTTGTGCTACTATGTCACGGTTAACCGCACTAATCATGATTAACCACATGTAACCGCGTCAGTAACCGATTAAACTGTGGTTACCTATCGTTCAGTTGTGGTTAACTCGCAAACGGCAAAACATGGACTATTGCTAACTGTGACAACAAAATAACTTGTTTTTTTGGTTTACGGTTAACCAATAACCGTGAGGTTTCGATGCGGTTAGCGGTTTAACTGCAAAACCACCACTGAATTCCCAATCGTTACCCTCTTTCCACAATATTCATTGTCCATCATTCTTTACACCACAGATTTGTTTGAATAACCATAGTCGAAGAATTCTTCAACAAATCTCACTTTTTGATTTCGTAATAAAAAATATGTAATTCTAGCCTTAAAGAGTGTTATAAACGCGCTGCTACGGATCGGAAAATCGCCGGAATCGACAAAGCAAGAATACGAGAGCGAGAATCGAAAGACACAGACACACGATTTACGTGGTTCACTAACACGATGTGTGTTAGCTAGTCCACGGGCGAGAGAGAGCCAGTTTCACTATATCTGAGGAGATTACAGATTACAGAGGAGTATGAGAAGTATTTATAGTACTTCTCCATGTGGGTCTAAACCTAATCCAATCTAGCAAAGGAAACGGTTACAGACCAGGTCCAGAACCCGAACCCAAATAACATTGAGCCCATACACCGTGGGCCGGGGGCGTTGCCCCCGCACCCCCACCGGGGCGTTGCCCCTGGACCCCACTCGCTGATTACCAGTCGTAGCGGCTGATAATCCGATTCAAGTCATATCAACAAATCTCCACCTTGACTTGAATCCTCTTCCTCTGAAATCTCTGATGTACTCTGCTCCTTCTCTCTCTCCCGCCATCAATGCCCCGTAGGGCGGAGTCACCCACTCAAGACATTCAGCAAGTCCAAGCAGTGTTGGAACTTGCCATGTGGAACCGGCTTCGTGAACATATCAGCAGGATTATCCGCGGTGCCAACCTTCTTCACCTTAATCCTCTTCTCTGTCCTCAAGAAATGATACCTCACATCGATGTGCTTAGTCCTCTCATGGTGGACTTGATCCTTGGCCAAGCATATTGCACTCAAACTGTCGCAATACACCACTGCCTGATCATGATGTAGACCCAGATCACCAACCAGTCCCTTCAACCATATTCCCTCCTTGGCAGCTTCTGTCAACGCCATATACTCTGCCTCAGTAGTAGACAATGTCACCGCCGACTGCAAAGTTGCCTTCCAGCTCACTACAGAACTCCCAAGAGTGAATACATAACCGGTCATCGATCTCCTCGTGTCAACATCTCCAGCATAGTCCGAGTCAGAATACCCAGACACCAAGCACTCTGTATCACTTCCGAAGCTAATCCCCACATCATGTGTACCCTTAAGGTACCGGAAGATCCTCTTCACAGCCTGCCAATGCTCCTTCCCAGGTTGTATCATAAACCTGCTGACAACACTAACAGCATGTGCAAGATCAGGTCTAGTGCATACCATAGCGTACATCAAGCTACCTACTGCACTAGCATATGGGACTCTCGACATGTACTCCTTCTCAGCCTCTGACTGCGGTGCATAAGCTGAGGATAGATGAACATTTGAAGCACTAGGAGTATTTAAGGGCTTTGCTGAAGACATGCCAAACCTCGACAGTATCTTCTGGATGTAGCTCTTCTGTGACAAGAAAAGCTTCTTCTTCGACCTGTCCCTGTAAATCTCCATACCCAAGATCTTCTGAGCAGCTCCCAAATCCTTCATCTCAAACTCAGCACTGAGAAGCCCCTTTAACTTCTGGATATCAGACTTCGACCTCGCAGCTATGAGCATATCATCCACATACAGAACTAGATATATCATCGAACCATCCTCTGCCTTGTTGTGATACACACAACAATCATATTGACTTCTGCTGTAGCCTAGCTCAAGCATGTAACTGTCAAATCTCTTGTACCACTGCCTCGGAGATTGCTTAAGTCCATACAAGGACTTCTTCAGCTTACAAACATAGTCTTCTTTTCCCGGAACCTCGAATCCTTCTGGCTGAGTCATGTAAATTTCTTTCTCCAACTCTCCATGTAGGAAAGCTGTCTTCACGTCTAGCTGCTCGAGCTCCAAGTCATAATGTGCCACTATTGCTAGTAGCACTCTGATCGAAGTATGTCTGACCACTGGTGAGAAAATCTCATTGTAGTCAACTCCTTCCCTCTGCGAGAAGCCTCGTGCAACCACCCGAGCTTTAAATTTCATGCCCTCTTTAGAAGTGATTCCTTCCTTCTTCTTGTAGATCCACTTGTTTGTAACAATCTTCCTTCCCTGTGGTCGTTTGACTAGCTCCCAAGTCTGATTCCTGTCATGGGATTCCATCTCATCTCCCATTGCGGCAAGCCACTGATCAGCTTCACCGCCCGAAACTGCTTCTCTATATGACTGTGGCTCTCCTGCATCCACTTCTTCAGCAAGCTGAAATGAATACGCCACCATGTCCTCGAAGCCATACCTCTGTGGAGGTACTCCTGCAGTCGCTCTCTTCGGTCTACCGGAAGCAATAGACGGTTGAGCTCGTGCACTGGACTCTGAAGTTTCTGGCTCTGCAGAGACATCCTCATCATGTTGATCTTCTCCACCTTGGTGCTCAAACTCACTCTCATTGAGAGTTTGCAGCTCCACCTGCTTATCAACATTCCTGCTACCTTCAGCAACAGTAACCTTCAACATGGGGTTAAACATAGACTTCTCATCAAATATCACATTTCTACTAAGTATAACTCGATGCTCAGAAGGTGACCAGACTCGAAATCCCTTAACTCCATCTCCGTAACCCACAAATACACCCTTCTTTGCCCTTGGGTTCAGTTTACCCTCATCCACATGATAATAAACAGGACACCCAAACACTTTCAGTGAAGAGTAATCAGCAGGCTTACCATACCACACTTCATAAGGAGTCTTACACTCGATACCTGTGTGAGGTCCACGGTTGATCAGGAAGCACGCCATGTTTACTGCTTCTGCCCAGAATCTTCTCTCTAGTCCAGCATTAGAGAGCATGCACCGTGCTCTCTCCAACAATGTCTGGTTCATCCGTTCTGCAACGCCATTCTGCTGAGGTGTATCTCTAACAGTCCGATGACGGGCAATCCCTTCATCCTTGCAGAATTCGTTGAACTCAGAACTGCAGAACTCCAGACCATTGTCCGTTCGCAGCTTCTTGATCTTCTTCCCGGTCTGATTCTCCACCAATGTCTTCCACTGCTTGAACTTCGTGAAAGCCTCACTTTTCTGCTTCATCATGAAAATCCAAGTAAATCTCGAATAATCATCAATAATAGACAGAAAATACCTGCTGCCTCCAATGGATTCAACTCGTGAAGGACCCCAACAGTCGGTGTGGAGGTAATCCAGCATCCCCTTCGTCCGGTGGATACCCTTCTTGGGAAACTTGCTGCGATGTAGCTTCCCAAACACACAATGCTCACAGAATTCCAAATTCTGCATCTTGTGTCCGCAAAGAAGATCCCTCTTCGATAGAACTTGCATCCCTCGTTCACTCATATGCCCCAGTCTCATGTGCCAGAGAGTGGTCATATCTTCCTGTTGAACCTGAGACGATGCAACTGCAGCAGAACCAGACAACACAGACCCTTGTAATGCATACAAGGTCCCACACTTCACGCCCTTCAGTACCTTCCTCGAACCCTTGCAGACATACACAACTCCACCTTTTCCTTTGAAGCTGAAGCCCTTGCTGTCGAGTAGACTCAAGGAGATCAGGTTCTTTGTCATTCGTGGAACATGCCTGACATCATTCACGGTACAGAACGAACCATCATGTGTCCGAACCTTTATGGACCCGATTCCAACAACCTTGCAGACAGCTCCATTAGCCATGACCACGTTACCACCATCTATCTGCTCGTAGGTTGTGAAGCAATCCCTGTTCGGAGACATATGGTATGAGGCTGCAGTATCCAGAAACCACACATCACCACGATGTGCCTTCTCATCTACAGCCAAGGCGAGATCGTCTTCAGAACAGTTGTCCACTTCTGCCACGGCAACTGAACCTTGTTTCTTCTGTTGCCCTCTTCTCTTGGGACAGTTGTACTTCCAATGCCCCACTTCCTTACAGTTGTGACACGCATCACCTGGCTGTGGACCGGGACCCTTGGAATTCTTGCTCGAATTCCCTTTACCAGATTTCTTCTTTCCCTTTCCACCTGTAACAGCCAAACCGGATGCCTCACCACCTGTACCAGATCCGGACGCCTTATGTCTGATCTCTCTCGTATGAAGAGCAGACCTGACATCCTCCAACGACACGCTTTCTTTACCGGCAATAAAAGAATCAACGAAATTCTCATATGAACTCGGCAAAGAAACCAGCAGGATTAGGGCAGCATCCTCGTCATCAACTTGAACATCTATATTACGCAGATCCAGCAAAATAGAGTTAAGCTGTTCGAGATGTTCCCT